GTCTTGCTGCTTGGAGGCCTCTACTGGGTCCCACCTCCGGGCTGCTGGGCCCTGCCCCCAGGCCGGGCCATGTGGAGGCCTCCAGACCCCTGGCGGTGCTGTGCGGAGGCCTCTGCTGGGTCCCAGGCCTTCTGGTGATGAATTGTGGTGATGGTGTGACACAAGTCTCCGATGCTTCAAGTTCCTGCCCACCTGCACCTACTCTGCACGCAGCCTCCTGCTGATTGGTCATTATGTGTGAGGGTGTCCCAACCATTTGCATATTGCCCTTTTATTAGTATAGATATTGCACTGTTCGTTTTTAAAGATGGCAGCCCTAGAGTGGTTGAAACATTGGGAATAGGATGGAGAGATGGGAAGGGACAAAATGTTGGCAAGAGAAAAATGTCAAATGAAATAAGATTCCAAATTCATGGGAGAGAATGATGTTGGGGCAAACACTTCTTTCCCATAGCTGATGTTTCCTTTCTTCTTAATTACTGTAACATACCTCAGTCCCTTCTACCTGTAAGGATGTAGAGCGACATTCTGGTAATTTGGGGAAGAAGGAATTGGGTATGCTCTGCTCAGCTCAGCTCAGCTCTTTCAGTTTGCTTCTGGACATTAGTCCTAACCACAGAGGGCTGTTCTCCCTACTTCTCCCACTCATGTCTTACCGAGAGGGTACCTCCTGTCTGGAGCTTTGACCTGAGCCAGCATTGCTCACGACCCTATGGGTAAATCTGTCGAGTTTGGTGCTTTGGTTTGCAGGTGTCTTTGGCTCTCATGCTAAACCATATTATTTAGTTTAGCCTTCATCAGTAAAACGTGACATTTTGCTCTCCCTCTGCATATCCTTATCTCATTTCTCAGTATGATTAGAATTCAGAAGGCGAAGAAGAGTGCTATTTATTTGGGCCTCTCACCACCCCTCACCCCAAATGCTGGGATTCCAGGGAAGGGGAACTAACTTTGGAGGGGAACTAGCTTTGGAGAGAAGAGCTATTGTTTCCTCTGAATCAGAAGAAGGCAATAGCTGTGCAGAACTAGAGATCTTTGAGGCATGATGGAGCTTCAGAGATTCAAAGTCATCTCAATAAAGTAGGAGGCCAGATAATTTTCTGAGACTGATTCAGGAAGCATGAAATTGGAAAATTAAAAGAAGATTTAGATATCTATGGGGAATGTAATCAAGAATCCACTGAAGAGAGGACCAAAGGATTACCAGTTAGGATGGCAAACAAGATGATATTAACAAGCATAGATAGATAGAAATCAAAGATAGGCTTGTTCTTTGCCACTAGGGACAAAGTGATGAATATTGCTCTATAGAATATATTTTATTCTTAAGTTATATTAATTTTCAGAAATAAATGAAGGAATCTGTTAAGGTTGGCCAATCTATAGTTATGTCAGTATTATTACAAACATGAAACTATACTTCTGTAAATATGATAGTTAACCTTTATCTCAGCTGATACAGATTTTCCGTGTGTGTGTGTGTGTGTGTGTGTGTGTGTGTGTGTGTGTGTGTCTGTGTCTCTGTGTCTGTGTGTGTATTCAGGATTTTTATTTTATTGAACACTAGAGAGCTGGTGTACGAAATCCATGCACAGGAGATAGGGGGTGTCCCTCTGCCCAGCCTGCACTCTCTCCAATCTGGGATATCCCTCTCACAATCCAGGACTGCTGGCTCCCAACTGCTCGCCTGCCTGCCTTCCTGATTGCCCCTAACCACTTCTGCCTGCCAGCCTTATCACCCCTAACCACTCCCCTGCCAGCCTGATTGATGTCTAACTGCTCCCCTGCCAGCCTGTTTGCTCCTAACTGCCGTTCCCTGCAAGTCTGATCACTCCTAACTTCCATCCCCAGCAGGCCTGGTCCCCTTCCACTGCAGGCCTAAGGTCCCCTCCCCCCTCAGTGCCATTTGCTACAGGCCTGGTCACCCCAACTTCCTTCCTCTGCCGGTCTGGTCCCTCCCAATTGCCCTCTCCTGCTGGCTATCTTGTGGTGGCCACCTTGTGTCTACATAGGGGCAGGATCTTTGACCACATGGGGGCAGCCATCTTGTGTGTTGGAGTGATGGTCAATCTGCATATTATTCCTTTATTAGATAAGATAGAGGCCTGGTGCACGGCTGGTTTGCCCTGAAAGGTGTTCTGGATCAGGATGGGGGTTTCCTTGGAGTGTGAGGTGGCCTGAGGGGGCCTGTGGTGGTTTGCAGGCCAGCCACACCCCCTGATGACCCAAGCGAGGCATTGGTATCTGGGGTTTATTTATCTTCTACAATTGTGACTTTGTAGCCATAAGCAGAGGCCTGGGCTGGTCAGGGCGTTTGGAAAGCTTGGCTTCCTCCATCATCGAGGGCAACCCTAGCCTGCTCTCTCCAGCTTGGTGGTTGCCTCCATTTTTCTTGGGATTTATCTTTATAATTGAAACTTTGTGTCCTTGAGTGGAGGCCTAGGCCGGCAAGGGCAGGCGGAAAACTTGGCTTCCTCCATTGCCTGGGAAACCCAAGCCTCCCTCCTGCTCTCTGTGGCTGTAGCCATCTTGGTTGGGGTTAATTTGTATACTCGCTCTGATTGGCTTATGGGCATGGCTTATGGATGTAGGGGAGTGATGGTTAATTTGCATAATACTCTTTTATTATGTAGGATTTTTTAAAGAGCCCAGTCAACAAAATACTACATGGTAGCAGCCCCAAATACCAGCAGGATGAATTTTTTTTAACATTGAGTGTTTTCATTACATAGATATAGCCAGTGGCTTTATTGAAGGCTAGAGGCCAGGTGCACTGGGGTCCCTCAGTTTGGCCTGTGTCCTCTTATAGTCTGGGAGCCTCATGATGGACTGCCCTGCAGATGGAGGCCCAGACCACCTGTCGCAGGACCAATGGCCAGGTAGCCTGGGCCTTTCTCTGCTGGGCGATTGAAAGCAGACCCCCCCACTGGCCAGTGGCCTGGGCCTCCCTCTGTGGGGCAGTCATGGGGGCAATGGCAGGGCCCCTGGCCAATCACATTGCACCTGCCTTGGCTGGCCTAGCGCTAATGCATGTCATGGCATGGTGGTCCAGACAGTCGTTCTGCTGTTTGGCCCTTTGGTTAATTTACACATTGTGCTTTTATTATTATAGATTATTATTCTTTGGGTCACATGTTGAGTCGCTTTCATGGAGAAAAGAAAAAATAACCCTGGCTTACTTCCTTTGCCTATTGACTTTTCTAGGACCAAAGGAAGTACCAGCTTTCCCATGAAGTATTCTCAGATTTTTCTTTGCATCTCTGATTTCTCTCAATTTCTCTTACTCTTAAAAGTCAAATGTATATTAGCATGTATAGTTTGGTGGGGAGAGAAATAGCAGGGAGCAGGGTGGGATTTTGGGAGGGGATTGCACTTGAACTGGTTGTGGAGGGAGAATAGAATTTGGCAGGTGGATATGGGAGGTGGAAGCCAGGAGCACTCCAGTTATAGCACATGGCTGAATCCAGAAAGCAAGGAGGTGTGGTATCCTCTTCAGGGAGCACTGTGTTGAGTAGGCCCTTGGCTATAGGTCAAGGATGCAAAAGAAGTGTGGTCTCCATGACCAGAAAAATAGCATAAAAACAGATTGTGCAAAGCTGCAGGAAGCCAGATCTCTTAAGGCGGGTAAGATTTTCCTAAGGGAATAGCCTGTGGAGAGGTGGACAGTAGAGTTGATTGCTGGAATGAGGTCCTGGAGGGAAGGGAACTAAGAGTCTATTAGAAATGAAGAAGGTCAGAGGGAAATGAGGAGGAGTTAAACAGAATAAATAAGGCAAGGCTCTCTTTTACTTGAAAAGTCAAGCTAGTGATTTTGATAGTTGATAAAAAAAATAACTCCTGATATTTATAAATACAAAAATTATTTTAAATATACCTACTCTGCTTGAGTTTTTACTTATTTTTCCATTTTTGGTTAAAGTATAATAATAAACAGCATATGCTGAAACAAATTAGGTACACAACAGGGGCTGAAATAATTTCAAAAAATTTTTCTTTTAACTGGATTGCTATTATAAAATAAGAATACATTTTGATTCAGAACTTTTATGAAGAACTTGGGCATTTTATTGCAACATCTGTTTCTACATTTTAATTTCTCTCCTTCCTTTTTTATAGGTATTTGCATACTTTTTTTTTTCAAATGAGAAGACCTTTTTGTTTGCCACAAGAAGGCTATTATCCAGAATGTTAATGGGTTTTCAGCTATTAAGATGTAATGATATACCTTAAGTATTTAACTATAAATTTGAAAAATCTCCATGAACAATCTCAGAGGAATACTTAGAATGCACTCCTGGTAAATTGGCTCATTTTCCTGTAATTTACTGGAAGTGCTGATATGAGAGCAGTCCTAATGTGAAAAGTACATTAATCCCTGGAGTTGCATTATATGTATTAAATTATTACTCTCAAAGAATAAAATGTATGAGGCCATTTAGCCTTCATTCACATCTGTTAGTTAGAACCACAGCAGAGAAACAATCACTTATCTTTTGGTGCACAAAATTAGAAATGATACATTTAATATATTTTAAAACAAGAGGTACAGTGATGCTCAGTTATGCTTTTGCATAACAATTGCTCTTTTCCCAAACAAGGACTATTCAAGTCTGGAGCAGAATTCTTCTGGCTTTGTGGAAGCCCCTTCCATTCCATTGGTAACTGAAAGATTTTTAGAAACCCATAATGCAGCTTTCTTTGATGCCAGTCACAAAGGTTCATCTGCCTGCTTGCCATGAGCTTCTCCCACGCCAGGGGATCATGGAAGGAGGTAGTCATTTTGAAGGACTGGCTGCAGGAGCATGTAGGGTCTCGGAATTATGTCTAATTGTGTTTTTCTTCTTTGGCAGGGGACTGAAGGTTGTGGAACCATAATTTGTGAATCAGAGTGCTTTGTGTGTGTGTTTTTTTTGGACAGACAGCCATTTACGATTCCGAATGATTAAGGCAGATAGGAAGCCCCTTCTGAGAGTTTAACAAAGCTCTCAACAAGCTGCACCATGGACACAAAGCTGGACCCTTCTCGCGATGACCTGCCTCTCATGGCCAACACCAGCCACATACTTGTGAAGCACTATGTACTGGATTTAGATGTGGATTTTGAAAGTCAAATCATCGATGGCACCTTAGTGCTTTTCTTAGAGTCTGGAAACAGATCCAGGAAAAAGAATGGTTCCACTGAGGAAGCCTGCCGATCAGAGTCCAGCGAAGCCTGCAGATGTAGGAAGCCGGAACCCTGCCATGCTCCCGTGGCAGATACAAGGACCTCCTTGTCTAAAATGGAATATACTAGTGATTTTGCAATTTGTGGTAAAGGTGAAAGAGATACTTCTGGTAAAGATGGTAACCATGACAACCAGGAACAGACTTATGGGATTTCTAGCTCGAAGCACTGCTGTGACACAGGGAATCATGGGAGTGAGGATTTTTTGCTAGTGTTGGACTGCTGTGATTTATCTGTGTTAAAGGTTGAGGAGGTGGATGTTGCCGCTGTGCCAGGTATTGAAAAATTTACAAAGTCTCCCAAGCTCACGGTTGTTTCTGAGCTCAGGAATCAGATTGTTCGTGAACTTGTGACTCTGCCTGCCGATCGTTGGAGGGAGCAGTTAGACTATTATGCTCGGTGCAGCCAGGCTCCTGGCTGTGGGGAACTCCTGTTTGACACTGACACTTGGAGCTTACAGATCAAGAAGACAGGGGCTCAGACAGCTACTGATTTTCCTCACGCCATAAGGATACGGTACAGAACCAAACCCCAGGGGCGATCAGTTACCTGGACCTCAGACCAGAGTGGCAGGTAGGTATCTGGCACCCCGCAGCCCCTGCCTATTGATCTCACGCGCTGGGAGACGAGCCTTTGCAGGAGTGCCCTCAGACAGGGGACCACCTCTGCAAAGATTGCCTCTCCATCTGTGGCATCACCCAGTCAGCCTCCTTAGAAGCAGGTAAATTCCCCAGCATGCTCAGCTCTTAATGGGATTACTTCCCTTAAGTCAGGGTGAAGAGCTGACTTTATTAAGTCCCCGTATTTCTGAGTTAGGAGAATTAAAAGGCAAGCCTCACGATTAAATCCCGAGCCTTGCCCTCCCTGAAGATCTCTGCTGGCCACTGGCAATGCTGTAGATGGGAGGGTACAGACTTCCTCAGCGCGCCCTCATTCCCCTGAGGGAGGGAGTGGCCTGCTGCCAGGCTGGGGCAGTGTGAAGTGCCTCCAAACAGAGCCAGCTCTGCTCTGTGACTTCCTTGTGGCACCTGTCTCTTGGCAGCTCTGCCTCCCTGGACTTCATATGCGAACCTCCCAAGCCGTCAGATGGTCTGTTTGTGAGGGTGTGACAGTCCTGCTGACAGTGCACACTCACCTTGGCCATGAACGCTGGTTTTCAGTGTGGGGAGAAGAGACGGAGAGGCATCCGTTTCCAGGGCATGTATGTAGGGAGCCATTTGTGCTTTTCTTCCTGCCCTTCCTCCAGCGGTTGTTGAGGATTTTGAGACTGAGAATTTTAAAATCAAACTTAGAGCCCTCATTATTTTAACTATTTCTTTGTGCTCACGTACTTCAGATCAGTATGGCAGTTCCTGCAGAGCTAGCTGGAGGGACATTGATCTGTGAGCTTGCTTAAGCGCCTTCTTTTGTAGCGTTGGACTTCCTTCATGGAGGCAGCGGTCTCATCAAACTGCTTCCATCTCTCTCCAGCCACCCCCCAAAAAGCCTTTTAGATTTTTTTTTAAACATCAGTTTGACTTTGAGCTCTAATTATCCCATTCCTTGCCTCTAATCTTACCTCCCGCTCTGGTCTCCTGCCCCCGCTTGGAATGAGTGCACTTCCTGCCTTATTTCTGCGGGAGTCTGAGGCAGCCTTTGGGAAATTGCAGGGTTGATACAAACTTGCATCAGTACAAAAGCAGAGTGATTTATTTGTAGAATAATTTACTGGCTATCCTTGGGAGACTAGGAGGGGAAAGAAACAGGTGTTCTTATTGTGACTTCAAAGTTGTTTTGAACTTATTAAAGATGGGTTTTCAATAAGATTTAACTATATTGTCTTTGAATACTTAACTAGGAAATTGTAGTTTTTATATTCACAGATACTACTTTTGGAATTGAATAATGGGGAATAAGAAACTGTTGACAGAAGAAATACTTATTAATGGTCTCAAACATGTCTGTCTTCTTGGTGCTCACTGTAAGGAGAGCAGACTTGTGAATTGCATTACATGCAAAGTGTTGAGTAGGAATGAATGAATGAATGCTGGTTTCCATAAAGAAACTAAAGAGGTCCTTGGGCACAACTGGCTCCTGCAAAGGCTGACTTGGTGAATTGATTTTTAAAAAAATATATTTTATTGATTTTTTTATTTTTACAGAGAAGAGAGAGGGATAGAAAGTTATAAACATTGATGAGAGAGAAACATTGATTGGCTGCCTCTTGCACACTCTCTAATGGGGATGTGCCCGCAACCAAGGTACATGCCCTTGACCGGAATTGAACCTGGGACCTTTCAGTCTACAGGCCGAGGCTCTATCCACTGAGCCAAACCGGTTTTGGCATGAATTGATTCTTGATAAATTCTGATAATTTAATAAAATGCATGATCACAGCAAGAGTTTAAATTGTACCTTTGGAAGTTTGTGGTTATATTTTAGTACAGAAATGGCATTTATGCAGTTTTACAAGGATAATAAGTTGTTTTGTGTTTTTTTAATCTTCAAAATATGTTTTTTCTCCCACTGTTTTGGGAGGGATTTTATTTAAGATTATCTTGCATGAATGGCCACCAAACCTTTGTAAATTCTACTACATGCTTAAGAATATATCTAGGTATCCTATCTAATAAAAGAATAATATGCAGATTGACCATCACTCCAACACACAAGATGGCTGCCCCCATGTGGTCAAAGATCCTGCCTCCATGTGGACACAAGATGGCCACCACAAAATGGCCAGCAGGGGAAGGCAGTTGAGAGGGACCAGGGCAGTTGTGGGCGATCAGGCAAGCAGGGGAGAGGAGTTGGGGGGGACCCAGGCTTCCAGGAGAGGGAAGTTAGGGATGATCAGGCTGGCAGAGGAGGGAAGTTGGGGGTGACCGGGACTTCAGGGAAGGGCAGTTGTGGGGACCAGGCCTGCAGGGGACGGAAGTTAGGAGTGATCAGACTTGTAGGGAATGGCAGTTAGGGGCAAACAGGCTGGCAGGGGAGCAGTTCAGGGGTGATCAGGTTGGCAGGCAGAAGCGGTTAGGCGCAATCAGGAAGGCAGGCAGGCGAGCAGTTGGGAGCCAGCAGTCCTGGATTGTGAGAGGGATGTCCCAGATCAGGAGAGGGTGCAGGCTGGGCTGAGAGACACCTCCCCACTCGGTGTAGGAATTTCGTGCACCAGGCCTCTTGGATACTTTAAGTTCTTTAAAAATGCCCAAGGGATCTCTAATAGCTAGACAGAAGTAATTTCTTAGTGATATGAGTGAATAGTAATTATCAGGGTTGTAATGCTTTATGAATATAATTGTGTGAAAATATAAAATTTCACAATTACGTGAAAAATACAACTGGGTAGAGCTTATTTTCTTTAATTAAAACATAAATAGTTGTTACATTTTTACCTTTGAATGCAGAATACTATCAGTGTACCTACCATAAATTCTTAGTCCTAGATGAGAAACTTTTTATTCTCATTTTACAAGTAGGAAAATTGAATAAAGTTACTGAAAGCTCCTAGGAAAATCCATGTCTAATTATTAAAAAGAGCTACATTTCTTATATCTGATCATTACCTTGTCCCTTACTATATGCAAAGATTTCAGTGCATTTTAAAAATAAATGAATTATGGTAATTTTCAATAAATTTATCTTTTAAGCCTATTTTAGACAGTAGCTTAGGTAACCTCTAAATTGGTTTGTTACCCTTCAAGTTTCATCAGTGGCTTCTCCTCTTCTTATCCCCACCACACTCCTTGTCCAGAATAAACTCATGTTATTTTCTTCTGTATAAATAAATAATCACTTAGGAGGTCAGAGGAACCCAGGGTGGAATGCAAAATGTGACAAAACAATCTAATTCCATGTAAGTGTGTGAAACCACCTCACTGAAGGGGATAGGGATAAAGGATACTGACCTAAATAACGCTGGAAATGTGTGGAATCTATAAAACTAAAGGCAAAGGAAACTGTACATAATACTGTGGTTGGTAAGGTTGTTTCCCATGGGCCTACCGTTTAACAGTTTTGGTATCACTGTACATGTGTGCTAGAATTGAACAATTAAGTAAATGAATGGCAGATGGTGGGAGCCAGCTTTCTCACTGTTCAAGTGCAAGGTTACAGATGAGGAAGGAGAAGAGGCTAGACAAATGTATGTGGAAATGGATTAGAACTAGAGACATCACTATGAACTCATATTTAAAATAGATATGGATGTTTGTACATGGAAGTAAGTATAGAGATGGTGTTTCCAAGGGTTAGCATACACACATATTTCCTTGCTTGTCAGCTAAAAAAGTTCGGAGCACGAACACATTAGATTCCTGGTCTTGGTTTCTAAAGCCATTCTCCAATAAAGGAATCAGGGCTTCTTGGGGAAATAGGTAGGACTGGGACAAGAAATATACAAGATGAGCCTGGAGCATCTTGTAATGCCAGAAAATAAGGAAATGCTCAAACAACAGCTACAGCCTGCAACTTGGGTGCCTGTCAGAGGTCCAGGGAGCCATGTGAAAGAACGCCTAACGACCAAAGCTGGACAGCAAAGCAAAGAAAATAGTTTTGGATAATAATGCAAAGTATAAAATAAATATCTGAGCCCATGCTGATCCAGTATTTGACTAAATAAACAAATGGAGGGGAATGGACATATCCATGGTACAGAAGAAGTCCAGTCCTGTAGCTACTCTGTCCTCAAGGAAGTGGGGCATCACTCCTCTCTTCTTAAGTGTGGCCTACACACACAGAGTGACTTCTTTCCCAAGAGGACAGAATGGAGAGCGGGGTGTGTGTGTGCAATTTTACATCTGAGAAACTTGACAAACAGCACCTCAGCGAGGAGATCAAGGGTCACATCAACAGTTATAAGTAATGTTGATAGTATGTACCCTTGGTGTGATGTGATGAGAATGTCAGCATTGTTATCTTCCCTATAACCCCAGTCTAACCAAGAGGAAAACATCAGATATAGCCCAAATATATCCCAATATATTCAACAAAATACCTTACCAGCTCCGCAAAACCCAAGGTCAACATGAAGAAAGTCTTAAGAAACCCACCACCTAAGGAGATATGATGATTAGAGGTAATGCAGTATCCTGGAACAGAAAAAGGACATTAGAGAAAAACTAAATCTGAATAAAATTTAGCTAGTAATAATGTGTCAGTATTAGCTCATCAACAAATGCAACATACTAGTAGTAAAAGATGTTAATAATAGGGAAAACTGGGCATGGGGTATATGGGAACTCTGCATATTTTTGCACTTATTAGTAAAAAAAAATATGTAAAACTGTTTCAAAATAAAAAGTTTGTTAAACAAAATAAACTTCAAATTTGGAAAGAAGTTACCATCTTTCCACCCTGAAATCCCCGTTTTGTAAGGGCTGTCCTCCCATTTCTACCAAGTGTCAGTGTTCTCCGGAGAACTAAAAATACATTTGAAGCTATAAAAGTTGTGTTCCTTCCAATCACTGTCAATAAAATATCAGGAAGTATAAAAGCTACATTTTCCCACTTTGGTTTAGCCATTTGGGGTTGTAGCAGTGCTTGAACTGAAATGCTCTTTCTTGTGTCCATCATTCAGATAACAGCTTTTAGCTGAC